CTCCCCCTGCCCCCTCCCCCTACCTTTCTCTTCTCCCCGATTCTCTCTGTGGCAATCGCTTCAACCTCTTTTCTTTCTCCCTAATTGTCACTCTTCATTCCTCCCGCTCTCTCTCTCTCTCTCGGTTCTCTCTCGGTTCTCTCTCTGTCTGTCTCTCGGTTCTCTCCCTCCTCCCCCCCCGCCCCGGTTTATCTTTCTTTTCCGCCCTCCTGTCCTTTTTGTTGCCCCCTCTATGTTAAAGGTGGTGCTGTGTGTTTATGTCAACAATGCAACCATTAATAGAAGTGGCTCGCGTTAGGAAGAGTATATGAGCAGCCTTGGCTGCCCGTCTTTTTTTTTTTTTTTTTTTTTTTTGCCTTTCGGGTGTGAGCTGATTCTTCAAAAAAAGGTGAATGCAGTAAAAGAGGGGGGACTGCCTCTTTTGTTCTCCTTTTCGCCAAAAGGGGGGGATATCTGCTGACTTCGTTGTGTCATATGCTTCCATCAGGATTGGAGCTCATGTTCTGTTCGCTTGCAGTCATATGTGTGTGCTACCCAGTCACATGGACTGGGTATCAGTCCCTTCTCTTAGACACAAGGGATATTGGGCCTCGCTGCACTACGCTCGAAATGTGCAAAACGAGAGTGAATCTTCCGCTAGAACATGGAAAGATTTTTGTCTTGTGCATTTCAAGAGTAGTGCAGCGAGGCCCATTGTACATTTTCACATGGGTTACTTCATGTTCAGGTTCCTCTTCATCCTTTGCGTGATCCCCTCTCCCCGGCCTCTTGAGTTTCCTCCGCACGGTTGGAATCGGCATCTTTTTTTTTCCATATATATCGTCAAACAGAGTTGCCCGTTATATTTATATATATGTATATATATATATTTTGGTGACGATATATTTCTTTCCTTCTTTCCTTTTTCTGTTTTGTTTTCTTTTCGCGTGTGCGCTCCGAGGTGTGACGTATATATATCTGTGGGCGGCCTTGTACGCAAGTGGTTATGAACAGGGGGAGTTATAAGGAAGAAGATAAAAAACTGAATTCAAATTTTCCTGTTTTTCTTTCTGTTTTTCTTCTTTTTTTTTGCATTTGCGCTCTGATGTTCTTGTGACAATACATATATATATGTGACGATATATATATGTTGTTTGGTCTATGAAGTTGGGGGCGGTGCTTACATGTGGGGCTTGTCATCCAGGATCTTGTTGCCCCCTGTTTTGTTATATTGGGCTGTTCCCTTCGTCTTTCCTTTGCCCCTTTGCCTTTTGGCTGCGTGCAAGTGGGTCGATATACACACGGGGGTGGGGCCAGCCGCAGCTCAACCAAATCCACGTGGGCGGCCTTGTACTCAAGAGGTTCTGAACAGGGGGAGTTATAAGGAAGAAGATAAAAAAACTGCATTCATTTTTTCCTGTTTTTCTTTCTTTTTTCCTTTTTGTTCGCATGTGCGCTCTGATACTCTTGTGACTATATATATATAGAAGGGTTTTTATTCTGGTCATCTGATCGTGACTGGATTCGAGCTTGGGCCTGTATTTCAACAGTTGGTGAGCAAGCATCTTCCTATTCTTATTCCCGATCCGCCGTTCGTTTTCGTCTGTTTTTTTTTTTTCTTTTTTAAGTTTTTTCTTAAACAGAAATAAGTCTCTAGAATACCTCCTCACTGTAAACGAGTTGGGCTCTTTTTTTCTTTTATTCTTTCATAAAGGGGCACTTCACTTTTTATTCCGCAAAACATTTCACTAGGCCCACAAACACGTCCACATTCGGGCGTTGAGGAAACTCGACGTTGCTCGTGGTACTTGGCCCCTGCGACCTTGTCCTACGTGCACCGTTTAGTGGACCTTGCTAAACGGTGTGACAGCTGAAACTTTTTTTTTTTTTTTCAAATTCAAATTCAGAAATGCATTACAAAATCCACCTAAAAAGGCTAAGATACAATTCATTCTTTTTCTTTTTTTTCCACAATTGGAGTGGCATACGGGTGACGTCCATAACCGCGAATGGAAACTTACTGCCATCCGGTACGCCCCGTCCACAACCGAGAGAGAGAGAGAGAGAGAGATCAGATTGTGGATGTAGAAAATATGCACGAATCTGGACGGATTAAAAGGACGTCTCTCCATGAATCTGCCCAATAACGGAGACAGATACAGGCGCCCATGCCAACAAAGAATTCAATCTGCTCCGATCCTACAAAGAGTTGCACCGATCCTATGAAGAGTTGCTCTATTCTCGTAGTTAATGGATGAAGGCATATTCTCGACGATTGAAGGTATATTTGGCCCTTCAAACGTCGCACCAAATTGCCAAATTCCCGTAGGTAACGGATATTGGGTTCTTCAAAAGTCGCACCAAAATAGCAAAGTACAAGCGACTTCAAAATTTTCTCAAAAAACATAATTAAATAACATGAAAAATAAAAAAATCTCCAGAAAGGAGGCTTTTCGTGGCCAACACGGTCGTTGAACTGGTTGTCTCCAAAAAAAGGAGACAGCTAGTGCAACGGAAAGTGGCGAGGGTAGGGGGGGGGGGGGGGCGTAACATTCGAGAAAACAACATTTTTGGTACTATTTTGTTTGAAGAAAAAATGCAACAATCTCTATTCACAAATTAAAAAAAAGAACGGACTGCTGGATGATTGCGAGGGCGTGCAGTACTGAGACGTGTTTGTATGGTGCAGAAAACTAAACGTGGGCCTAGCTCAACAGACGGAAGTGGGGCAAGGTCTCCGGAGTACTGAGATCACTACTTGCTTTTTTTTTTCGAAAGAAGGGCAATGGCGTTGAGCACTGAGATCATCACTTGCTTTTTTTTTTCAAAAGAAGGGCGATGGCATTGAGATATGATCAGCCGCAGGTAATGCAGAATTATTTTATTCTGGCCATGTGTTTGTATCTGGATGTGAACTTGGGTCTGTATTTCAACAACTGAGGGCGTACTCACACTACCACTATCTTAAACGTACCTGACTACCACTATCTTAAACGTACCTGAACGCATTTACGGCCAGACTTGTATGCATCTGGCCGCAATTCCGTCCGGGAAGACGTAAAAAAGTGCTAATGTGAGTATGCCCTGAGGTAGGCTCGTTGTTGAGAGAGCATTTGCTTAGCGTCACGTCAGAACAAATTCTTCTACAACCCTTTTTTTTTTTTTTTTTTTTTTTTTTCCCAAATCCGTCTACAATCTGTTACATCAACTCGTTCTTTTTTTTTTTCTCTTTTCTTAAAAAAATAAAAAAGTACCAAAAATGGCAGCACGAGGCTGACAGCATCAGCCAGCTTAGCTTACAGGCTTTCCCCTGCAGAAATCAGTATTGCTGACTTCCAGTCCTAAGAATGTGCCAATCCATCTTTCCTTAATTTTTAATCAAAACACCTTGCTTTAGAATCCTAACTTGCACAAGTGAAGAATCTCGATAGCATCAAGGAGTAGAAGACGGGTGCGTGAGTGAGATCTGAACAGAGCCAGTTACTTGTTGAGCAGACCGGCATACCCTCCCTTACTATAAGATCAAGTACCTACACTTTGATAAATCAAGCCTGAGCCTGGAGGCACGAAGTGTCGATTAGATCCCAAGCGAAACGCTTGAGCATAGGCTATCCCACGTCTGGGACTAAAGCGGCCCCCGGAGGACCAGGGCTGGTCCCGTCCTACCGACACTCACCTAACGGCCCCACAGTGGCCTTACTCGGTTAGTGTCCTGGTTGTGAGGTCAGCATTGCTCCATCTCTGTGCCACCTAACCTACCAGCATCCAGTTTCTCCGCTGGACAGTAATCACTACCCCCTCTCCTTGTTGCCTCTTATCGTCCTTATCTGTGCCCAGCACCCGTTCTGACAGGGTCAGACCCTTGCGGGGGCGAATCCTCGCTAGCTGTTGGCTCCCCAGGAGGCCCATGTCCTGTGGAACCATCGTGTCTGTCCTTGACTCCCCCTCCCTGCTTTTTTCTTCCTTCTCCAATCCTCCAGGATTGCTTGTCTCAGACCGTTTTTGAATCTGAACTTGATTTCTTGGTCTGAAAGAGATTTCTTTTGGAATCTCGAACTGTTTCTGTCAGACCAGAT